ATGTCGGGGTCTGCTGGCTACGACGAGAGGGCTTCAAGATCGAGAGTTTGTGTCGTTTTGCTGTTCCTCTTCCGTTGTAGGAGCTCAGACTACGGTGGTTTACTGCATGGTCAGTGGCTTGGCTTACATGGCCACACTCGCTCTCCCGTGACCTGTCTTTGATTGTTTTACATTCATGAAAGAGATTTGCACGTAAGCTTGTGGATGTTCCCACGTGGTCGATGGTACGTCAAGGAACGTGAAAGCCGGGACGTGCGATACATTGTCAGTGAAATAGCAAGGGGACTTTTTAAGATCAAGGGTTGGTCAGGCACAGGTAGAACAACTATGTGAAGGTGTGAGCTCGTCATGGTCACGAGGGGAGGAGAATGATTAATGGTGCAGACTCCCTTGTTGTGTCGCAGTGGGGGGGGGGGGGGGGGAGAAGGGGGTCGACGAGGTGGGTTCGAGGGTAGGGCACCTGGGTTCAGAGCTGTGGACAGGTGGGGCACAGCGAATGTTGCACTCAGGGGCATCGGAGTTCACAGATGGCGGGCGGTGGGGGTGTTTGAGGCGTGAGAAGGGGCGCTTAGACTACAAGGTGGCTAGAACACGCTGACAGATGGAAAAAGAGAACGAAGAAGATTCGGTATGACGGAAATGACCGCGAGTTGAGTCAAGCGATAGGGGAGGGCAAAGTGACGGCTGAACGCTGCTTGTGGAGGTTTATTGAGTGACCGTTGAATGCATCCACATAATCCAAGTGGAGTTGTTGCTCCACGTAATGCTTTTGCTTGACTTAGCGACCGTGTTTTGCCGTCAAAGTGTTATCACAAACGACTCCAGAAAGTCTCATCTCGACATCCGCGTGGATATTTAGTTCGCCTTCTTAGTCCCCATCGCATAGAACGAAAGACAAAGAAGACCCGTATAGCCTTAACAGACTGTTGGTACAAGTGCTGTTAGCGAGGCCCATGACCGGTTCAGATAATCGTCACTGATGGTGCTGGTGGCCGTGAGCTGGAATTGAACTCGGGTCGCCGGGTTCATATCGCAGAGCTCAAACCACTACACTACTGCTCCCCATCGCCACAGACAGTCACACACATAGACACACGTGCATTTATGTTGTTATTGAGGTATCACAGTATTCCATAAGCAGTGCCATGGTGGCGAGACGTTAACTCCCTCGCCTGGTATGCAGAAGGTCATGGAGTTTGCATGTTCTCCCCGTGGTCGCGTAGATTTTTCTCCGGTTCCCCCCCCCCCCCCCCCACATTTAGAATCAACATCACGCGTTTTAGAGAATTTGGCTGCGATACATTTCCACATAAAGCCACTTCGTTGAGGTGTCGTTTGTGGCCAGGTCGCTTCTGGTGTAAAAATAATAATTATTGTCCAATAATTAAAACCTGGTTCCGGACCAGTTGGTCTGGATCCACTGATTTAGATGTGGATGGAATGTGCGCAGTGTCTCTGATCTCCTCGACAGAAATCTCGGGGGTTGAAATAAAAACTCGTTTCTCCAACTTATAAAACACTCTAACAATTACTGTATTTCACATGCTGGTTTTCACGATGAGATTATGCAATAGCTTTGATATGTTGTGCTTCGTTCCGCACACACGTTTTGTGTCGCGATTGCGCTATGTACGTGTGTATGTTGAACTTCTTTCGCACCGTACGCAGCCAACCGTGCTTATCGGAGGTGCCGTGTACAATACAAGCAACAAGGCGGGGAGAGAGGGAGGGAGGCCTTCCTGAGCTGTGCTGCGCAGTTTGTAACGCAAGTGTTATCTCAATAGGAACAGGAATCCAACACCTTCCGTGAACTCCGTGACACATCATTGCTGGCGCTGTCGTGAGCCTGAATCAACATAGCCACATCACGTCGTTCAATCGCATCATTGCATTGAACCCTTAGTGAATATCCTGCCGTACTATGGCAGTCACCGTCTCGAAGCACCTCGCGAGTTCACGGCAACCCCGAGGATGAAGGGCGCAACAATTGGGTGACGGTAAAACAAAACGTCAAAACCACATGTCCGTTGCCTTGTACATTAAACAAAACTAAATCCGTATTGAGCGCGCGCACTGGGCGGCATTTCGGGTCCTTCGCAGCTGAAGTGGCCCTCGGCCGGTCACGGCGGTGATGGAGAGTGCCGCGGGGCGGTGATGGAGAGTGCCGTGGGGCGGTGATGGAGAGTGCCGCGGGGCGGTGATGGAGAGTGCCGCGGGGCGGTGATGGAGAGTGCCGTGGGGCGGTGATGGAGAGTGCCGCGGGGCGGTGGTGGAGAGTGCCGCGGGGCGGTGATGGAGAGTGCCGCGGGGCGGTGATGGAGAGTGCCGTGGGGCGGTGATGGAGAGTGCCGTGGGGCGGTGATGGAGAGTGCCGCGGGGCGGTGATGGAGAGTGCCGCGGGGCGGTGATGGAGAGTGCCGCGGGGCGGTGATGGAGAGTGCCGCGGGGCGGTGATGGAGAGTGCCGCGGGGCGGTGATGGAGAGTGCCGCGGGGCGGTGATGGAGAGTGCCGCGGGGCGGTGATGGAGAGTGCCGCGGGGCGGTGATGGAGAGTGCCGTGGGGCGGTGATGGAGAGTGCCGCGGGGCGGTGATGGAGAGTGCCGCGGGGTGGTGATGGAGAGTGCCGCGGGGCGGTGATGGAGAGTGCCGTGGGGCGGCAGGGGAGCCCTCAGCGCTACGAACCGGACGGCCCGGGTTCGATTCCCGCTCGCGATCAACACCAGCCGTGACGATTATCTGAACCGGTCGTGGGCCTCACCTAGGTCGACTCAGCCTCAAATGAGTACCTGGTGCGATGTGTAAACATCGCCACTGGAGAGACAAAGGCGGCCGGGCGTGGTGCTGGCCACCCCCCCCCCCTTCGTGTGCCGTGTGGGTCTTCACAGGTGCTGCTCGCTAACAGCACTTGCACCTACGGTCTGTTACAGGCTACACGGGGGGGGGGGTGTCTTTGTCTTTGGTGAGGCGTGGGAGCCTCGCGGGTGGAGAGATGCGGAAATGCTCGGCTCGTTGGCCCCGTGGCCCGGCCGTGCCCGCCGGCCCGCTCGGCCTACGTGGTGACCGTGGCGGTCTGGCGACGGCTCCACCCTCCACTGCCCCCGGGGCCCGAGTCCCGTGACCGACGCGGCCCACGTGATGGCAGCAGCGCGTGCCTGTGTGTGCGCACACGTGACTTTGTGTGCGCACACGTGACTTTGTGTGCGCTCACGTGACTTTGTGTGCGCTCACGTGACTTACCCGCATTGTTCTTCACGGCAAAACCTGCAATGCAGCATTCTTAGCTGCTGGCTCACACAGAAAGAAAACTGTAAACGGTGATAGACGTTTCACTATCTAGCACCCTTAAATGGCGACATTGTCAAATTATTCTCTTTACAGGACCATAAACTCATTTCAGGGGGATTGGCTTTAAAATGCCCTGACATCAACACTTTGTGTTCTTCCGAGGGAGAGTTTTCTCTGACACAAAACCTTGGGCAATGAACAAACGACGAGGAGTATTTATAGGCAGATTCTCCAACTTTGTGTTCTTGAGATTTTAACAACAGCTTTATAAGGAAAGAGAAAGCGCCCTACTGAGAGACAAAGATCCCCCGTGTAGCCTTCACAGACTGTTGGGGAAAGTGCTCCTCGGGGAGCACCTATGAAGGCCAGCACGGCACACGAGGGGGTGGGTGGTCATCACCACACCCAGCCACCTTTGTCTCCCTCTTGTCCATGTTTACATGCCGCACCAGGTACTCATTTGAGGGCGAGTCAGATAATCGTCATTGGTGTTGGCCGTGAGCGTGAATCGAAATGAGGTAGTCGCGTTCATAACGCAACGTGCTAACAACTGCTGTACTACCGCTCCCCACTACAGAGAAACACAGAGCCAGAGACTGATTTGTGGAAATACAGACACGGAGAGACACAGACATTCGTGAGCAGAGAGAGGTGAGTGCGGATAGAGGACTCGTATGTTCATTAATTGCGTTTATGAACTTCAGTCCGTTATTGCTATGGGGCAGTGCCCACGATAACAAAAACAAGGGTGAAGAGTGCTCACCTGGGCTGGAGTATCGACTATGCCACCTGTGTGGGAGCGTCTGGGGTAGACACTGAGCTTCAGCGGAAACAGGCCACAGCAGCTGACACGTTCAGCGGTGAGTGACGTGAGCTAGAGGCTAGAGGCAGCCAGGCCGTTGCCAAGAAACATCTGGCAGTTCACCGGCGTCGGTTCAACCACGGATTACTGCTGATGAGACACTGAATACGAAAAAAATGGGTCCAGTGTTTTGCTTGTGTTGAACTAAGACTGCTAAAATGCACTCCCAGAAGGAAGGCCGTGTGGCTAATTGGATGTGTAGCTTTTGTTATTTTATAATGTGGAGACACAGATGGGAAGGAGGAGTCTTGTCTGCTTTTTACAAAGGGGCCAGAGCACCGCTGCTACTGCTGCTGCCCGCGTGATGGCGGGTGAGGTCTGCAATTTGGACGGAAAGAAAGTGGCCATGCAATCGATCACATAGCGCTAACCTCCAGCACTTTACCTGATTCCTATGACACGAGCGGACATGCAAATGGTTGAAAGCCTCGTAAGCAGTGCGTTACTTACGAAACAACCGCACTTACAAATCGCATAACCGACGCTGTTTCTTTTACCAAGGGGTGTGCGCTGAACGGCATGTTTTGCTATCTGGACGGACAATCTGCCTCGTCTGGAGCTGAGGCTATCAAGCCCTATTCAATTGGGACGGAGAGTTACAGTATTGACTCGGCTCAGCGTCGCTTTGCTGTAGAAGTTGACGGTTCGAATCCATCGGTCGCCCTGATTAGTACTGCGGCTGTGTTCACAGTACTACACGCCGTCTACTTCACAGAGAACGTTGCGGATCCCGGGGTCCCTCCGCTTTGCTTGGTGCTCTCTACTTTCTACCATGAGCAAGATAACTGTCAGATGTTGGCGCTCCTGTGAGACTCCTCTTTCTCCCGCTTGCGCCTGACCTGTTCCTCGCAGGTCGAGCCACAGCTGAGCCTCTCTCGTCCGCAAGACAGGCCAGAAGAGGGGGACGACGCCGCGAGGGTGGTGGACGGCACACGGAGCGTGCTGAGCCTCAAGGCCGTGCGCGCCCTGCTGGGCCTGGTGGCCGTTCTCGCCATCGCGTTTGCCGGTGTGCTCGCCGCTCTCATCGTCAACATCAAGGGTACGCCACGCACGCGGCCTCTCGCACGCTCGATACAGGTCTCCTATACGCAGTGACCTCGTTCGAGGTCTCCTACACGCAGTGACCCCGTTAGAGGTCTCCTACACACAGTGACCCCGTTAGAGGTCTCCTACACGCAGTGACCCCGTTAGAGGTCTCCTACACGCAGTGACCCCGTTAGAGGTCTCCTACACGCAGTGACCTCGTTAGAGGTCTCCTACACGCAGTGACCCCGTTAGAGGTCTCCTACACGCAGTGACCCCGTTAGAGGTCTCCTACACGCAGTGACCCCGTTAGAGGTCTCCTACACGCAGTGACCCCGTTAGAGGTCTCCTACACGCAGTGACCCCGTTAGAGGTCTCCTACACGCAGTGACCTCGTTAGAGGTCTCCTACACGCAGTGACCTCGTTAGAGGTCTCCTACACGCAGTGACCCCGTTAGAGGTCTCCTACACGCAGTGACCCCGTTAGAGGTCTCCTACACGCAGTGACCCCGTTAGAGGTCTCCTACACGCAGTGACCTCGTTAGAGGTCTCCTACACGCTGTGACCTCGTTAGAGGTCTCCTACACGCAGTGACCCCGTTAGAGGTCTGCTACACGCTGTGACCTCGTTAGAGGTCTCCTACACGCAGTGACCCCGTTAGAGGTCTCCTACACGCAGTGACCCCGTTAGAGGTCTCCTACACGCAGTGACCCCGTTAGAGGTCTCCTACACGCAGTGACCCCGTTAGAGGTCTCCTACACGCAGTGACCCCGTTAGAGGTCTCCTACACACAGTGACCTCGTTAGAGGTCTCCTACACGCAGCACGTTAACACCTCATGTCATCAGGTGCGAGCGAGCCGGCTATTGCTGCCCCACCACATAAAATAATAAAATGACTTTTTTCCATCCCATCAGCCACATTGCCTTGGTTCAACAACAGTGTTGATTCAACAAGAGCGACCTCTGACTCGGTTTCGAAATTCAGTGTTTCATCTGCAGAATCAGGTTTGCTTAAACCATTGCTGGTGAACTGCCAGAACTTGTTTTATTAACAAGGACCCTCTCTGTTAGATACGGGTCCGAGTTCGTCGCAAAAAATATATAATGTGCAACGCGGAACAATCACGAGCACTACGGAACAAAATTAGTTTGTGTTGTGTATTTTATAGTTTATTTTCGAATCCAGCACCTATAACTAACAGAGATGTTCCTTACTTAAGCGAGACTGACTCTGCTGATGAGACTTTTAGGAACGTGATGGAGTCAACAGTTTTCGTGTGCCAACCACCTGCATGAAATACCATTGTCATTCATATATTGATCATCAAGGTGCGTGCGTTGCAGTCATGTCCCCCTTGGGGGTTTACGAGCCCCGGCCCCCTGTCGCGTCTGTAGGCAAGGTGCCGCCGCCCGTGTGCCAGACTGATGTGTGCGTCAGCGACGCGAGGCTCATGCTCAACTCTATGGATCCCACCGTGGAACCGTGCCAGGTATGGAGACACGTGCCCGCCACAGTGGCGTCACCATGGTCGTTGTGGAGAAGATCATTAACGAGATGGTTAAGCGGACGATGCGCCTCCGTCCCATATCCATATCTCCACATAAAACATTTGCTCAAGCCATCGGCCGCACGGCCATCTGGGAGTGCGTCGTTTCAGCGATGTAGTTGCAGAACAACAACCACAATTTATCATTCTGCAGCATTGAATCAGTTCGAGCAAACCCTGCTGCGGTTTTGACACATACAGGGTCTCATTGGCAGAGTGTGAGGCTGGGTGGGCTGGGCTCACTTTGCAGTGAGTCGTGGGATCGGCTGCGATGCTTCGTGTCAACCCACGAGGACGAGTAGCACTCCCCAATTGTGACCGCTGGTCTCGCCGTTTGCATCGCGCGAGGCGATCTCAGCGCCACCACCACTGTTTTTGTCGCAGGACTTCTACGCGTACGCGTGCGGCGCTTGGCAACCCAATGAGCGGTTGCCCGGGGGTACCGCCAGCTGGAATCAACGCAACGTCACGTGGAACGGCAATCTCAAGTTCCTGCGCGACATCTTGGGTGGGTGCTGCCCGCCTCCTTTCCGAATAAAGATGAAAGTATATATCTGTACACAACCCACCAGCCGCACGACCTTCTGGCAGTGCGTCTTAGCAGGAGCATTGGGCCAATAAAAGTCAACTGTGGGCCAGTTTCTAAACTCGGTGTCACATCAGCAGGATTAGGCCTACTTGAACCAATGCTATGAGTTGCCGGATGTTTAAAGGCAAGGACCCTCACTGTAACTCACTGTAATAAATGGGTCCGAGTTTAGCGCAAAACTCCAATACATAACATTAAATAGCCTTCTGGTCATCTTGCAGAAGAGCAGGATTGGGAATTTCATGAATCTCTACGTAATTCATCAACCATTGCAAACTTCATCCACATTTCCATCATTAACTTGATTGGCAACATCATTTCTATCTTCATTTATCTTCCTCAACATAATCATTCACACAATCATCGTTCTAATATCACTCGCCACTGATGTTAGCCATGGCCGGGAATCAACCTCAGGTCGCTAATTTCATAGCGCCGTGTGCAGACCACTATGCCACCACTCCACTCAGGTCTTATTTGGTTCATGATGTCGTGCTCGGGTCACACGCAGTTTTAGAACTGGGGTTGTTAAACAACAACCACCGCTAAACCAGTGACCGTTTGTGTCATCGGTTAGCGATTCCAAAAGCCAGGAACTGACAACCGTTTTCTGTGGAGTTCAAGCAATGACCGCACCGATTGGCACGCGTGGATGTACAAACGGCAGCACGGCGCAGCTCCTGGTTGGCCAGCGGCAAGCGTATTCCAGTGCCTCGGCCGAACCCAGTCCCCACGTGGTGCGGTCGCGCCTCGGCAAGATGAAACGGTAAAGGCCCAGCCCCCCAATTGCTTGATCACACCACTGCTCGTTGAAACGTTTCCACTGGGGGGAGTTCTGGAAGGGATGTGTTCTCCTCTTCCACGCTCTACGAGACGCGTTGTACCCACACTTTACTCCATGACACGCAACCTGCCCATCGACGAACTGGAGTGTCCATTCATACCGCTCGGTGGACAGAGGTGGTGAGATTACAATAGACTTGCCCCATGGTTTCAACTGCCGTGCCACACGATGGAATCGAACCACTTCCTCGACACTCAAAGACACACACACACACAGGGCTGTGTGTGTGTGTGTGTGTTCATCGTTATGCGTGGTTTTACTTGCAGTTAACCAGCAACCGGGTTTGTTCTCATTTTTACAACGCGGTTAGTGGCAGTGAAAGGGAGACGTTTTTAACACCCCCCCCCCCCAATCACCACCCCCGTGCTTTCCTTCACCTTCAACCTCTCGTCTCAAATTCGGATTCTGTGCCCTGGCTAAATAAAGTACAACGTTCAAGCGTATTCTCCCGCCACGTAAAGGGGGGCTCACAGTACAAAAAAAGAGGCGTTCGGGATTTTTAAAATCCAATATATTTCAATTCCGCATCCTTGAACACCTCCCAATACAAACGTTTGTGGATCTAGGTCAGGGGTCGTCAACTTGCGGCTCTTCTGCTTCCACCTTCTGGCTCTTTGGCTGCCCCCTTGCGGGCAGCCGTTTAAAAAAAACTTAAATCTTTAACGTAATTTCACGTAAAGATAATTAATTAAACATGGCAGGCAATGGGTTGCGATGGAATGTCTTGGTGGCAACAAAATGTACAACAGTCAAATTGTATTGTTAAGGGAGAAAAAAAAAAGGGCCCAATTTATTCCATCATCTATTTTTGTGTATTTAAGTCAGACTGTGTGTTGTCATCTGCTGTATACCTGCTGTGTTTGTGTACAAGTGGCAGTGCGTGTGATGCGGCTCTAAACCTGTTTTGGTCAAAGACAAAAACTAAACAAATGTCTCTTCTTCTTTGAAAGGTTGCCGACCCCTGCCCTAGATACTTCGTAGGTCTATCTACCTACAAACTATCTACCTGCCCTAGATAATTTGTAGGACTTGACTATCACTGTGCCAAATGTAAATGTTGTGTTCCCTTTCGAGAGCACCGTCGGAATGTACATCGCTCGCGGACTCGCGGCCATATTCATTCAAGTATGCGTTGATTTTTGACGTCGTGAATATTAATGACTGCGAATGAATTTGTGTTGCAGAAAATGTCACCTTCTCCGCTGATCAGTCGTCAAACGCCGACGCACAGACGTTCTACCGCGCGTGCATGAACCAGGGGCGCATCGCCGAGCAGGGCGCCCAGCCCCTGCGTGACCTCATGGACGGAGTACGCCTTCCGCTAAGCGTGCACGCAAACATAGTGGCCGAGCGAACGGAGTACGCCTTCCGCTAAGCGTGCACACAAACATAGTGGCCGAGCGGACGGAGTACGCCTTCCGCTAAGCGTGCACACAAACATCGCGACGTAGCGGACGGAGTACGCCTTCCGCTAAGCGTGCACACAAACATAGTGGCCGAGCGGACGGAGTACGCCTTCCGCTAAGCGTGCACACAAACATCGCGACGTAGCGGACGGAGTACGCCTTCCGCTAAGCGTGCACACAAACATAGTGGCCGAGCGGACGGAGTACGCCTTCCGCTAAGCGTGCACACAAACATCGCGACGTAACGGACAGGGCACTCCTTCCACTAAGCATGCACACAAACATAGCGACGTAGCGGACGGAGTACGCCCTCCGCTAAGCGTGCACACAAACATAGTGGCTGAGCGGACAGAGTACGCCTTCCGCTAAGCGTGCACACAAACATAGCGACGTAGCGGACAGGGCACTCCTTCCGCTAAGCGTGCACACAAACATGGTAGCCTAGCAGCAACAACAACTGCTTCTATCAACAGGAATCCCTAATTACAGTGCTAATCTCCTTAATATAAACTCACTCTAGTAAGCAATTAACGCATAAATGGAATCACAATAGCATTACAATTCCCGATTCATTACTAACACACACAATTCCTTAAGGATGGCCTATTTTCACAAACTAATACTGTAGATAGATAGATTACTACTGGAGATAAATAGATTCACCTTATTACCTTATTACATACCTTATTACACTAACCAACCCTGCCAATCATAACCATCAACCAGTACTCAACTCTCATTATTAATAATAATTCTTGATAAAATAGTTACAGTGGCATGGATATAAATACAATCTTTGTTTAAAATTAGGCCAGAGTCTGTAAGAGGTGTCGGGGTGCCTAATGGGATCAATATTTGGCATTGACTTAAAGCTTTCGTGATTGCAGGAATTCATATTCTATGGGTCTTTCGGTAAAGCCACGTAGATAGAACAAATAATAAAATGATAAAAATATTAACAATATCACGACGTTTCGATCGCAACACAAGCAATCGTCATCAGGTCAAAAATATTGTGGGAGAGCTGCTGAGAATATATGGTGGGAGCGCTTTTAAGGCAGGGAGTTGTAAAGGTTTGAGATGGGTGTAGCCCAAGGATCAGTGGGCGGGGCTAGAGATGAAATTTGCATGTAAATATAAAATTTCTCCGATCTTACATTTACATGCAAATGTAATCTCTAGCCCCGCCCACTGACCCTTGGGCTACATTAGTAAATGGCGGCTTGCCATCCTTTTCCACCTCCATGTGGCGATGGCTCTTTCCGAGCTCTCTCTCGCTTACATTTACAAGCAAATGTCTTACATTGACATGCTAATCTCTCACAATACAATGGCCACCCCCACAGCTTCGTTTGTCAAGATTTCTCTGATCGTACACCCACAGTATTTGAGCACAGGCCCTAAGTTCGAAAACATTAAGCGGACAGCAACGGCCACCACTATCATAGTTGCAATAGATTGGAGTGTAACGCGTAGCTGTTATTATACCAGCCAGGGGACAAGTGACGCTGGTGGGAGGGAATTCCAAAGTGGGGCAGTGTGAGGGAAGAAGCATAAAGAGAAGTGTTGTGTGACCTGTACTGTGGTGGGTGAGTGGGTGGATGAGTCTGTTGTTGTGACCTGCAGTATTGGTGAGTAACTGGGTGGGTGAGCTAGTGAGAGTGCTGTTGTAAGCTGCGGTGTGATGGCTGAACACAGTGAGGATGAGAGGAGGCATTGATTCTGCTAGACCGAGTCCTCCACGTGCTGGAATGACTCTACAGCAGCAGCAGCAGCACGGCGGCTAATAACAACGATGTGAACAGGAACGTGTGCCGCTTTATTCACCTAAATTCTTTTTATTTCACCAGGTAAAGCTGTGTATCTTTTTTTCAGAAGCGACCTGGCTATCACAAATTATAGCTCAACCAAGTGTGCTTATCATCACGTAGAAATTTATAGCAGCAAAATACTCTAAATGTGGAGGGAAAAATCTTGAGGACCCGGAGAAAAATTCACACAACCACGGGGAGAGAGAAACACGCAAACCCCAAATATCACGGGCGTCAGGGTTGGGATCCGAGCCACGACCTCCTGTATATCGGGCGAGGTTGTTGACATCTCGCCACCGTGGCACCCCACTGAAGGAAGCGGGGATCAAGCGACTGCCTCTGACTCACGCCGGCTTTACCCTGTGCTCTGTGACAGCTCGGCGGCTGGATGCCGACACCCAACAAGACCACGAATCTCACCGAGTTGTTGACCAACACCACCCTAAACTTCCTGTTGCCAGCGCTCTTCAATGCCCACGTGGTGCAGAGAGGCTCCAAGGATAAGCTCTTTCTCGAGGTAAGCACACACAGGATGCGCTCGTTGCCGAGACACGGTCGTTGCCGAGATGTGGAATCGACGAGTGAAGTTGACGGGGAGCCTTAACCGTGGTAGTAGCAATAGAAGGGTGAGAGGGAGGCGACTGACCGCCGGTGAGCGAGTGGCTGGAGTGAACCGGTGAGTGCTGGATCATCAATCACGCTGACTGCGTTGCATTGATTGTATGTCCAGTGCAGCAGTGTTGTTGCAACTAAGTGCTGCACCCCAGATATGAGAGCAGCAGGATTTCAGCTTCAACTGAATCCTGATTTGTGTAAAGCAGCAGCAGTGACCATGGCTCAGAGTTAACGAGGCTTTAGCATGGAAAAGGAAATGAAGATTATTTTTCACTGCCTTGATAGCCAGATGAGTGACACAGCCATTCCATGACAGCCCAGATGAGATTGTTGTGCTCAAGCACGATTTATGGTTGTACTCTGGATAAAGTAATTACCGTTATACATTGATGGTAAAAACTGTGGAATTGCCAGCCTTACACATTAGTTTGTCATGGTTTTTTAGTTGAACGTGACCTGGTATTTTTTTTCACCCCAATCCAGACTTGTTTCACATCAGTGGTGTTTGACAGTAAAGTAATAGAAATGTATCTGAAGTTAGCTAATTGTGATGGTCATCTAGTGTGTACTAAATCCTTCATTTAACAGAGAATTGATAATTTCACTGACAACATTAATGCTGCTGTGTCTGATTTTATTGCGCATTCACGCACGCACACATACACACGCACACACACACGCTTCAATGTGTAAAAACACACATGACATGCATACACAAATGCGCACGCACAAACCCAACGCAGCTTTCTCACCCGGAGCTCGGGCTTCCCTCGGAGTACTTGACGAGCAACGCGACCCCGCAAGCCCTCAAGGTGATCGCCGCGGCGCTGCCGTCCCCGCACGGAGCGCGCTCGCCGCTCGTGCCGCTCCCACTGCACCAATGCGCGCACCGCAGCGTGCCGCGCTGCCGGTACCCGCGGCGATGTGCGCCGGATTAACGGAGGAGGCATTCCAGCCGTGTTTTAAAATACAGGAGCATGCAACACAGTGATAATAATTGAGTACATTTGATATTTGTGCCATCCTTATAGCGGAAGGCCATCACGAAGGCGCTGTGTTGCACAGGCACAGTCTGCAGTAGTTTGACAGTCGAGGGCGATGTTGCTACTGTGTGTCTATTCCCAACGAGAGTCATTTTTTAATTGGGCAAATGAGGACCATGCCGCCGGCACACAGTGGCGTCCTCATTTCAAATGACGTCAGGGGATTTTTAACGTCTGCTGCAATGCAAACGGCGCGTAGTGTTTTCCGCTCAATAAACAGCGCGGCAGTAACCAGGCAGGGCTCTCGGATTGGTACCACACACCTCTGCAAATGCGCTACCGCCGGGCCGTGTGACCACGCGAGCCGTTGTCACGGGGTGGTCTGCACAGGTGCGGGCCACTTATCTGCACTACATGGTGCGCTCGGCCGTGCTGCTGGGCCAGAGCCTGGGGGACGCGCGGCTGCACATGCAGGAGGTGCTGAGCTTCGAGTCGACGCTGGCCTCCATCGTGGCCCGGACTCGGGACCCTGCCGAGCCCAGCGAAGTGACGTTGGATCGCTTGCAAGTGAGGAAATGGGTCTGTGCCGCGTGCTGCTCTGTTTTCCGCCTTTTGTGACGGCCAGGCTTGTGCACAACGGGCTTCTGGGAACCTTGCGAACCCTCGCTCTGGCGTGAGGAGCTCACTCCTCTCCCTCTCTCTCTCTGCTCCGGCGGGTTTCGTTGTCAAGAGCATTTTGCAAATGTGCCTGTGGCGTTAATGTGGCTGTGCGCGACGGTGCACCACGCCGGCATGTCTCAGAAGACCAATGACGCATCTGCCGCGGTATAAAGAGCAACTCCCCGTTCAGTCTGCCTGCCCGTCAGTCTTGCACCATCCTCCAATACCCGATAATGTCAGCTTCTTATATGCGTCTCTGTAATGAAGCAGCGATCATTTTGAATGTGGCTACGTGGTGATTTTAAATACAATCGCACCTCGATCAACAGGACTGGCTGATCATATATGGTGACCAACTTACGGCAGAGTTGACACGTGGACAGGTGGAAATATGGATAGACGAGCTGAGAGACGCTTGCACGATGCCATGAACAGGCACACGGACGCTTACACAGATGGGATCGGGTATGGACACATGTCCACCTCTTGCGATAAAGACACTGTAATGCCGTAGTATGGTTGGCTACGTGCGGTGCGAAAGAAGCCCAACATACATACAAATTGCACCTGCATTAAAAAAAATGTCAGTGTAAATGAAAAATGCCTCTGTAAAAAGACAAAACGAGCTTTTAGTTTTTCCTCGTTTTCCCTCTGCAGGCCATTGCTCCATTCATCAACTGGCAAGCGTATCTGCACAAGGGAATTCCAGGCGGCTTTCCTCAGGAGGCGGGGCTCCTCGTGTCCTCCACAGCTTACTTCGAAAACCTCACCTCGCTCCTCAACCACACGGACGCTACGTACGCTCACGCGTGCACCGCTCGGCACACCTTTTTATTGGCTCACGGACGCCGCGCTCCAGCAAAACCGGCACATCGACTCGCGATGCAGTGAACACGTCGTGTAGTAATGTTTTATTTTGCGCGTTGCATCTTTTGTGGAAGAAAAATTGCGTCTCAAAAACACCGTGAACGTTGTGACGCGCAAAGGCCGTGGGAAGCCACAGACAAGCGCTCGCGAAGACAGAACCGTGCACTACCACCAACAATGACTTCATTCATTTTGTTTCAGCAGGGGAGAACACGAGAGACACCGGGATGAGTCTAATTTGCAAGAGTTGACGCGGGGCATCGATCTGCCAGCCAGTAGGGGGCAATGCTTGTTGCCGCATGTGTAATCCCAGGAGAGTAATTTGCTGGTCAATTTATAATTTGGCAAATTTTGGCCTTGATGCCGGTGGTGCACAATGGTCTGCTCTTGCGAATGATGCTAGGGCATCATTAAGTCTGCTGTGAAACAAGAAGGCGCGTATTTTTTTCTGGCGGCTGCCTGATGATGCTGGTTGTGTAACTACGGAGCAAAATGTTGGGCTCATTTGTGAAATGTTGTGAGATTGCTCACCAACGCGAAGGTGGTGCTGCCGGAGCAGAGATACATTGGCCACGTTTGTTCGTCACGTGACAACTTTATCCGTTGGCCATGTCAGGTGGAGGATGGTTTATAACGCACATTTTACTGAGGTGAATCTCACCCCGAAATCAACAATGAATCGGGCGTGTAGTGTTATTGTTGTTATTGCAGCCGCAGTCATAATCAGGGCGGCCGCTGCATTTCCACCGTGAACCACTACAACAAGCGGAGGTGGAAGTACCGCTAGGCCATGTCACCTCTCAATCGCCCGAGTTCTGTGGTCCTATATGAGAATGTTTGGCCGACTCCATGAGTGAGTGTTCTATACGTGTGGGAGGAAAGCGGATCCCTCGGAGTAAACCCACGTGTGCCACGGGGGTAACACTCGATCCCCGTACAGATGGAAACGAATCCACTTGCTGCACTGCCATTGTACCCTGCAAGCCAGGAGATGACAAAGCACTATGCCCATGGGTAGGGAGAGAACTCTGTAAATGTGTGTGCCTGTAAGCAAAGCAGGGCACATCTCCTTGTGAGCGTGATGAGATTGTTTGAGTTATATCAACGGGTGCCTAGTCACATGGCACAGGAGCACGACGTGGGGTCGGCGTAGGCATTGTGGGGCATTGTGGGGCATTGTGTGATCACCGTATCACCGTTGCTCACTCGCGCCTGCAGAGATATGGAGGCATGGAGTGGATTTAGTTTACAATGTTATCTGAAAAAAACAGAGACTGTGTCTTCAGGAGGAAGGGTGACGCAATGGTAACGCTCGTGCCTCACAACAAGAAGGCCCCAGGTTCGATTCCCCACTGGGGCACCTTTCAGTGTAGAGTTTGTGTGATCTCCCCCTGCTCTATGTGTGTGTTTCCTGCAATAGCAACAAAATATATACGGTCTAGCTGGTATTGGCCAAACATCCTCAAAATGACTCAACCGGGATTACACGCAGCAACGTTGCAGCCTACCGTGGCACACGTGGCAGGGTCTTGTCAGTACCAAACGAGATAACGTCGAGGTTTGGGACCGATAGCCAATGGGCGTTGTGCAAAATCAATAATCTTTTGCGATGTGCTGTGTCAATTCACACCCTGGACACCCTTGCAAAGCAGATGTTCACATCTCGAGGGTTTTTTGGGTGAAATATTTGTAACGAACTAATATAAATTATATCTATGGGACCTTTTTGCCAGTATCAAAACTGATGAAGAATAAGAACAGGTTTTACCCTTACTGGCAATAAAACAGGAGGAGTTGAGATGTTCATATTTTTTGCAAGGAACTAAGTCTGCATTAACCACACACTTGTGGCGAAACAAACATACTCTGATAACAGTGGTCTACAGCCAGAATGCTTCCCAAATAAATGTAGTCCAACTTGACTAATTATGGGCCACTGAGAATGAAAATGATACTTAAAATTGTTGATTGGCTCTAGTTTTCAAGATATGCTAATGGGTCAGTATATACGACCCTTGACTTGGGAATGGTGGAGGATAAGTGAGTTATAAAGGGAAGGGATTTCAATTTCAACCAGAAATCACTAAAATACATCTAAATTTTGGAGCTTTCGTGACTGCAGGAATTATTCTTTGGTTCTTTCGGTAAAGTCACGTATAAAGATAAAATAATAAATTAAATAATAGCATACGACGTTTCGATTGCAACACAAGCAATCATCATCAGGTATAAATGAAATAGCAATAAAACTAGTGTTCTGGTTAGATAAATGAAATAGCAACAAAAATCTAACCAGAAAACTAGTTTTCTGAAATCATGCAGTGTCGTGCTCTCTTATTTGTCAGTGTTTGATTTTGCAAAGGACACATTTTTGTTTAGCCAAAGTGAGCAGAGATGCCTCGTACTTGTGTGAGCAAAGCAGATCACTTCTGCTATGTTTGTGGTGAAGTGACTTTTGCATCACAAAGCGCAGTATCACCACTATGGTTAAGAAAGCCTATCACCTCTATTATTGCTGCAAAATTTGAGATCAGGACAAGACGTGGGCCCCACACATTTGCTGCAACACTTGTGCAACAGATCTTTGTGGTTGACAGGAAAAGGAAATCTATGCCTTTTGCAGTGCCAATGATTTGGAGAGAGCCAACAGATCATATCAGCAATTGTTACTTCTGCATGAGGCCTCCAGTTGGGAAAGGTGTGTCAAAGAAGAAAAAGTGGACTGTGCATTATCCAAACATTCCATCAGCTATATGCCCAGTACCCCACAGAGAAGGACTGCCAGTTCCTGATGCACCAGAATCATTCTCACTTGAGTCAGACGAGGAAGAGGATTAAACTTCTGGTCCTGAACCATCAAGGTCACATGACCCAGAGTTTCTCCCATCCTCCTCTGAACCACACCTCATAACACAAGGTGAACTTAAAGACCTTGTCAGGGATTTGGAACTACCCAAGAGTAAGGCAGAGCTATTGGGCTCCAGGCTGCAGCAGTAGAATCTCTCGGCAGGTGATGTTTGGGTTTCCATGTTCCGTGACCGTCAAAATTATCTTGTCCCATTCTTCTTCATGGAAGGTGATCTTGTAGCCTGCAACAACATCGATGGTGTGATGTCAGCCCTCAACATCGTTCATGATCCAGATGAGTGGATAATGTTAATTGATTCATCTAAAATTTGTCATAAAGCTGTTTTGTTGCATAATGGCAATGTTTTGCCATCAATTCCAATTGGTCATGCAGTCCATATGAAGGAAACCTATGACAACATGAAACAATTTTTGAGGTGCATGAACTATGACCAACATCAGTGGCAGCTTTGTGGCAAATTGAAGGCTGTTGCTCTCTTGCTTGGTCTGCAGGTTGGATACACAAAGTACCGCTGTTTTCTCTGCGAATGGGATAGTCGTGCGAGAGATTCCCACTACATCAAGACAGATTGGCCACTCCGACAGTCATCAGAGCCTGGGAGGAAAAGTGTTCAGCATCCACCACTTGTTGAATCAAGGAAGATTTTGTGACCACAGCATGGAAAGCCTTCCAGTTAGTGGCAACACATTTTCTCGGAAACAACAAGACAGACAACTACAGGGAGTTGGTGGAAAACCTCCTCAAGGCTTATAAAAGTCTTGGTTGCAACATGTCACTCAGGATACATTTTTCGCACTCTCATCTAGATTTCTTCCCACCGAACTGCGGAGCAGTGAGCGACTTGGTATCATGTAAAGCGAAAAGACCGAGGTTTACAATTTATGAGTAAAACTCTACTATCTACACAATATACACAGATGTAAAATATTAAAACTTAAATATCTTGGGAACAGTAGCCAATCAGTTGTTTTAATGGTCACATTTGAAATCAGCACATCAAAATAATAAACAGCACATTTCATCTCGGAAGCAGACGACGTCTAAAACATTGTAGAGCAGTGTAATTTTACATGCATTGTCCTTGAAGCTGATTGGCCTGCACCATAGACAGCCTTCTGTATGGCCCAATAGAAATGAGCTGTCCACCAGGCTGCTTAATTCCAATTCGGCGAATGCCGGCGACGAAACGTGCCCTCCTGCCTTACCCCTTGCCGTTGTTAGCGTGCCAGCGAGTGCCGTGGTCGCGTGTGTGCGTGCGTGCGGTGCGCTACCCGCAGCGTCGTGAGCGGCTACGTCCTCTGGCGGCTGGTGCAAGCTATGTCTCCCGCGATGGACGACAGCTTCAGCGCCCCTCACCGACAGCTGCAGGATGCCGTGGCCAACGCGCAGACGGTGAGCTCCGCTCGCGGCTGAATAACCGCCCGGAGAAGCGGAGCGGCTTGCGAGTTGCACATCCTGGCTTGGGGAGAGGGGAGGTGTTGGCTGACTCGGGTCGATGAAAGTTACGACATCTGGTCGAGCAGTTGTTACAGCAGCATTAGTTTAGCGCAACGATCTTTTGGACAACGTTTTTACAGGAGGGGTGATTTGTTTACCTTTCTTGAACTTTGCACTTCCATCGTGTTTTTGTATTGTTTGTTCTAACATGCCTACCCACCCCTACTGGACATCTGTGAAAAAGAGCTTAATTCCTCCAGTATACATAAATATTCCGATTAAATTTTATTATTCTGCTAAGGATATCCCGATTGAGTCATGTGCGGTGTAAATTTTTTAATTTGGCAAATTTGGACTCTGACGCCGGTAGCACGCGATGACCCTACTCTCACGGGATCTTTAGCGGCCGGCGCGTACTATGTTGCGGTTAATGCACCCGCCAGTAATGACCGGGGCAGGTGCCGGATTTCGCGCTCTGGCTGGGCTGTTGCGACGCAATGACAGCACCGTGCTCCTCCCGTGTGCAGAATTACAGTGCGGCACGCTGGGAGTTCTGCATGGAGAAGACGAACTGGGCCATGCCCTACGCCCTGGGCGACATCTTCTTCTTCGCGACGCGCCTCGAGCAGACGACCGATGATGTACGTGGACGCAAAGCACAGGAACAGACGCGCGGACAAAACACCCCTAGCACGGAGCAATACGCAAACTGTTATCCCACTGTCAGACTGTGAACTCACGATGGCTACAGCCCCACGCTGCTTTGCCTCTTGTCCAGTTGCCTTCAGCACAATTCCCATAACTCACTCATTGCTGGTCGATGGCCTCCTTTTCGCTCTTCTACCGCTGCGACTGCTGCTGCTGCTGCCACAGTGGTTCCTGTTCCTGTGAACTTCACCCGTCGATTCCTCTTCCTGTGTCGAAGACTCGGTCTGCCAGACACTGACCGTTTCATCTTGTCGACACTGTTAAACCTTCACCACAATCCAGGTCAACACACTTACCCACCCACTCACCCCACTCACCCAACCACTCGGCACACTGCAGGTCACCAACACTTACATTTCTGCTTCGTCCCTCGCGCTGCTCCGCTCTGGAATCCCCTCCGATCGTCTATTTTTCCTGGTTCTCGTAAAAAAACCTTCATCAATTCAAGAAACGTGTTGACTCTTATCTATTTTGCAACGTTGACCCTGCTGTTGTTGCTCTCCACTTGACAGTTTGAGCGTTGGGGCGTGTGCTCAGCGATTTTGTTTTAAAGAAAGCGACCACTTCCCTGTGATGCTCAATAACCAATGCCAATAACCGCCATTCCCCAATAAGTGACGGTGACGTCACCACGGCGCCTGCGCCAGGCCAGGTGCACTTTCAGGCCACGTGAAAGGTCGAAGGCTCGTTGACAGGAGGTCTGAGATGACCGGTAGATGCACACCACCTGTGCCCCCTGCTGTGCCAACTTGCTGCATTTCAGCCGCCCGGCGCTTCACTCGTTGTTGTGAGCGTCGCTGCTCTGCCCTCGTTGTTGTTGGAGGGTGACTGCCTCCAACTGTCGACAAGTCTACTCAGCTCCACGTCCTCCCGTGCCATATCAGTCTTCTTCAGCCCATGTCGTAGCCCCCTCTATGCGGAAAAAATAGAAGCTGCTTGGGCATGGCGGTGGCTGGGCATGCGGGCTACATGACCCAGCCAACGCAGCCTTGCCTGCTGTAGGAGCTCACCGATGGGAATGTGTCCAGAACTTTTAAGGATTTGTGAGCTACTCACACTTTCCCTCCTGGTTAAACCCAGGATGGATCGCTCAATATCACCACCCCTTGCTTGCTTCATTGCTCGCTAACCGAACAGGACAGTGATTACAGTCTATGCAGTGATATAAACATATATTTATATAGTATATAGATATTTATAGTCGTATTGGTCCAGAATGACTTCGCGAATGCAAGTCCAGGAAAATCTCTGTTCTCCGGCATATATGGGGATTGGAGGGTGCCGGTTAACCAAACATGCCGGTGACCTGCGAGTCGTACTTATGGTTCACCACATTTTCCAAGGACATACAATTTTTACGAAAGATGCTTAGCCTACGTTTTAACTATGATATAATAAATAAAATACTCTTTTACAGAGAGGTACTCACCGGTCAATTGTAGAGCATCTTTGTCGTGCAGCACCGTATCTGAAGCTCCCATGAGCAGCAGATTGATGATCAGTGCACGGCAAGATGCCGGATGGCTTTCGGGATTTTTCTGGATAAATGAAGGAAGATTAGTATGACAGGTGCCAGTTAATAGAGCATTCCGGATGGTAAAGTGGTGGATAACATAGCTTTTCCTGTACACACAATGACAGACAAATTCATTGAAAAGTGTTCATTCTAAAATGCTTGCATGGGTGATGCTAAAGCAAAATACCGGACTTGAAATTGATCATGGATTCAAACCCCATTTGTAAGGTCTAAGAATCGTCATTATTTATTTACCCAGGATAACCATACGGATCCAAACACTAATTTTCACAAATGTCCTGCTTTGCGATGTTTGTCCAACACCAATGGCATTGTATTTCTTGTTCGCTGTGGGAGGAAACCGGAGAACCCGTAGAAAACCAATGCAGAACAGACGAAGAGCATTCAAACTCCACACAGAAAGTCCCCGCGTTGAAAATCGAACCCAGGTCCTTGTGCTATGAGGTGCAAGTGTTTATTGTGTTACCCTGTCGCCCTCTGGATTTGGCCTGCAGTACCTTTGTAAATGGTATAATCATGGCCACCTCGCGAAAAGTCATTGAGATGGCAGTCCGCAGTGAGGCTACGTGTCATTTCCACCTTCAAATCACTGTAATGGTTTACGTTTCACGCGGATGCAAATCCATTTAATGATATATTTATTTACATTTGCACTGCGACTCCTTAGGTGAAAGAAATCATCAACAATGTCCGCTTCTCGTTCCAAACCACTCTGACGACGCTGACCTGGATGGACAACAAGACGCGGGACGATGCCCGGGACAAGGTCAGTGGCGGCAAGGGCACGGCCCCCCCCCCGCCCCCCCCGCCCCCCCCCCGCCCCCCCTCGCCCCCCCCCTCGCCCCCCCCTCGCCCCCCCCTCGCCCCCCCCCTCGCCCCCCCTCGCCCCCCCCCTCGCCCCCACCGCCGCAGGGGCACCATCGTCGCCCTCCACGTCGTCGTTCACCGTCGTGCGCCATGTTGCCGTCGCTCCGTCTCCGCGGCGGCCGAGTTGCTTGTGTTACGGAAGTAGCGGTCCGGTACGGTAACGACGACGTTGTAGTCATGCGTCGCCGCGGTGGCGGCGGCGGCGGCGGCTGCAGCCGTGGGCGTGGATCGGTCGGCGCTTCGAGTGGAAGGGGCGCTGCAGCGTCAGCCGCCGAGTGCACGGGTCGGATCTCGGTGGGGTTGGCGGCTGTCGAGAGTCGGGCTCCGCCCCAAACCCCGACAAGAGTGAATTCGTCGCTCACTTCCACAGACGACCACAGAGCACTCCCATTTTGATATCGGTTGCGTAACAATTATTTAGCAACCCTGGTTCATATTAATTTCCACTGGCCAAGGGTTTGTTACATATAGATGTTGTCTTAAACATATAGCGTTTGATTCTCAGAATCCAGCCGCAATCAGCTGACTGGAATTGACATTGTCTTTGAACCGGATCCAGTTGACACTGTAGACACTAGAGAGACTGTAGACACTGTAGACGCTGTAGGTAACAGGGATACAAACATGGAGAACGCCGTGGTCACCCTCGGCGTGTGAACGACTTCCCCTGCTGTTCGTGGGAACTCTCAGCGAACACGGAGGACAAGCCCAAGTTCACTTTATTTAGCCCGGTGAGAACTCGGGAGACCAGGTTGAGTCTCCAGAGGGACCTGGGTCACCACAATGAAGGAAGCGATAACTTAGAGACGAGGACGACAATTCCTCAACCTTCCACCCGTCACCTGGACCCAGAGCGGCAATGACGGGCCAACCCCCCTCCCCTCTCCTCCCCGCCCCCCTCCACTCCTCCTCCTCCCAGCCCCTCCTCCTTCCCGCCCCCTTCCCCCGAAGAAAATCCCTCGACCCCCCCCCTCTGATGAGTCCGGTGTGGGACTGATGCCCGATACCGTCGATGCTCCTGGAACTACCGCTCGGAACGTCGCATCGTTGTTGATCTACACCCGTCGATGTGCGATGTGAGGGAGGATGTGGAATTCAAATATTGTATATATACACTAGCTGTACTACCCGGCTTCGCCCGGGACTTGGATCCACCACGCCCGGCCGCCTTTGTCTCCCAAGTGCCGATGTTAATACGCCACACCAGTTACTCGTTTGAGGCTGAGTCGACCTAGGGGAGGTTCAAATAATCGTCACCGGTGGTGGCCGTGAGCGGGAATCGAACTCGGTTCGCCGGGTTGGTAGCGCAGCGTAGCGTTAAGCACTACACCCACCGCTCCTCACACACCACACACGCACAGACACACACACAGACACACGCAGACACACACAGACAGACACAGACAGACACACACACACACAGACACACAGACAGCACGCTAAGCACTACACTACCGCTCCCCACACACCACACACGCACACACACAGACACACACACAGACACACACACAGACACAGACAGCACGCTAAGCACTACACTACCGTTCCCCCTACACAACACACGCGCGCGCGTCCATAGGTACACATACACGCGCTTGCTGCAGACACACACGACTTTCAGGGTGCGTAAGGCAGTAAACGACTGAAAAAATAAAGCGGCAATGCTGTGCGAGGAACGCCTTAGACCAGCAACACATTTGTGTAATGCGAGCGTAAACACACAAACACATACAAACACATACACACACATACACACACATACATACACACAGACATACACATACACACAAACACACACATACATGCACACAAACACATACACAATACACACACACATACATGCAGACACAGACAGACACATAACACACATACATACACACACATACATACACAAAAACACATACACACACATACATAGACACACACATACATACACACAAACACATGCACACACGTACATACACACATACATAGAGACACGCAGACATACACATAAAGACATAAAAAAAACCCACATACATACACACACACATACACACAAACACATACATACACATACATACACACATACATAGAGACACACAGAAATACACATAAACACAAACACACATACACATGACCCGGCTTCGCCCGGGACTTGGATCCACGATGCCCCGCCGCCTTTGTCTCCCCAGTGACGATGTTCACACACGACAGCAGTTACGCGTTTGAGGCTGAGTGGACCTAGGGGAGGGCCAGGTCCGTTTCAAATAATCGTCAGCGGTGGTGGGCGTGAGTTGGAATCGAACTGGGGTCGCTCAAGCAGCTTAATGACTGTTTGTACAAAGAACATATAAAGAATCGATTATAATAACCAGGCTACAGTCCACATTATAGACTGCCAGTACACGCAGTCAGCTTCATAAGCAGGCTAGAGTGTACATGATAGAGTGGCAGTACGCTCACCGAGCTTAATAAGCAGGCTACAGTGTACATGATAGACTGGCAGTACGCTCACCCAGCTTAATGAGTATTTGTACAGTGAACATTAAAGTAATCGATTGTTGGCGCGTTGGGTTTAAAAGTAATATTAATAGCACACATTGTGGTGGGGGTGTAGTGAAGAGTAGGAAAAACTTTGATGAATTTACCTCAGAGTGGCGTGGTGGGTGTCGAGGCCTAGTAGCGTGCAAAGCCTGCGGCCTCGCCTAAAATTGTCGGCTTGGAAGAGGCAGGGTACGGGTGGCGTTCCTTCCCCCCCCCCTCAGCGCTCCAACAATACTGTGTAATGGCTATTATTTAATTAAATACGGAGCTTATGAAAGTGGCGAAGGCGTGGCTAGCCGTTGGCAGAAGCAACCGCCGTCCAATGAAACTGCAGCCCTTGGCGAAGGCGTCGCTAGCCGTTGCCAGGTCCAATGAAAGCGGCGAAGGCGTGGCTAGCCGTTGCCAGGGGCAACCGCCGTCCAATGAAAGTGCGTATGGGCCGAAATACACACACACACACACAGACAGACAGACATGAACGATTTTATATATATAGATTAAAAAAAACGAGCACAACAATGAAGGAAATAGAAATCAGAGCAAAAAACACCAAATATTAATGGCAATAAACACCGCTGCGCTACTGGTGAGATGTGAATCGCGCCTAGGCCTCGGCAAGGTAAGGTAATTTACCCTTTTTACCGGGTCAAAGGGTAAAGGTAAAGGGTAAAGGTGTCGACATGCCAAGGGGTAAGGGTCAAGGGTAACAGGGTAAAGGTAGCTCGGAAGAATTACCCAGTAAGATAAAGGAAGCGCGAAGTATTACCCGGTAAATACGGTGCCTTGTTGACCGCTAGAAGCTCTGTGGCGCAGTCCGTGGCCTCCATTTAATAAGTAATATTGAAAAAAACCTTTTTTATAAACACGCTTTTATTAAATGTACGAGTAATAGCAGAACTCCACAACTCCAGGAAGTGGCCCCGAAGCTTGCCATCACGTAAGGGACCGTGGCCTATTACAGCCAACATCAGTTGATTGTGGACAATTAGACCCAAGCCGAAACATAACATAAAAAATAATGTTTTAAAATATATGTTTTCTATTTTTTATGATAGAATATAGTATTGTCATCAGTATGACATAAGTATACCAAGTTTGCAGTGATACCACATTGTGAAGTGGGTTAAAATTGAGTTACAAAATTTGAGGATACGACGACGACAACGACAGCAATGACAACGACAACAACAAGCGTGTAAAATTGTAATCATCGAGAGTATTCTATATGAGTAAAGTGCTCTACCTTGTAGCATTTACCGTTATAAACCTTTTTCATGTGTAGTAGTACCTCAGTAATTACCCTGTAATCGGGTAATTTGTGTGGGGTAAGGGTAAAAGGTAGGGTAAAGGTAGGCTCGTTGCTTTTTACCTTACCTGCTAAAGGGTAAAAGGTAGGGTAGAGTGATTGTATTGTGGTAAGGTAAAAGGTAGGGTAAAGGTAGGCTCGTTGTTTTTATCTTTTAGCTTTTACCTTACCTTGCCGAGGTCTAATCGCACCCCTGAGTATCAATCAATGTCCCACCGGAACATTCACCTCTTCTCCCGCATTCGCGTAACCTGGAGCTCTGGGGGGTTGAGTTGTGCGAGTTGAATAGGCGTTGGCGAGTAGCGTGGTCGCGTGATTGGAGCGTGAGTGTGCTGAGCGACGTGACAGCATGCGTTGTTTGCCTTTGCTTAGGCGAGCGAGATGAAGCCCTTGGTTGGAGCTGAGAATAAATTTAGTGACCCAGGCTGGATCAACAGCTTTTACGCTCAGGTAAGCCTCATCGTTCGCTACAAACACATTGCAATCACCATCGGTGAAGCAACAACTTTCTTGCTGATGTAATCCCTTACGTTGTTGCAATGTGTAGATTTTAAGGATTGTTAGACCGAGGTGAAAATACTCTGATGTTTAGGAGGCCAGGGTGGCAACGCAGTGGGAACAACTCGTGCCTCACAGCAAGAAGAGCCTGGGTTCAATTCCCGCCTCGGGCGCCTTAATGGGTACAGTTTCTACGATCTTGCCCTGTTCTGTGTGGAAAACGTCTGGGTTCTCTGGTCTCCTCTCATCGCTAAAGAAAAAAAAAAGCATACGATGTAGCTGGCATTGGCCAAACATCCCAATGTTGAAAAGTGACACTGCAAACGACTCGGTTGGGATCACACACACAGTAGCAACATCGACTGCTCCTGCAAAAACTTGGCAGGACCCTCCTGAAAAAGAGTCATGAGACTCGGCGAGGCTTTCTTGGGTAAACACGTGGAGTAAATAACAATAATATACAATATCTGCTGTCGCCCCAAGAGGTTTAAAATATACCATACACTACGTTCGTGACTGAGTGCATTTGTGAAACACTGCATACATTTCAAATTAGTCGCATTGCAGCAAGTAGTACCATGAGTATCCAGGTCTCCTGGGAAATGACAGGTGACTTGCTGTGTGTGTGTGCGTGGTTTGTAGATCACACCGGATGAGAACTCTTTCTTTAACACGATGGTGAACTACTACAAGTACCTGGCCAAGAAATCACTGGAGCAGCTGTCTTTAGGCTTAAACACCAAGTGTGTATATTTACATTTCGTCTGTTTGAAAACCAGTGTAAACGTTGTAACTTTGTCTTCCTGGGTAATCGATAAAATAAATACGCAGACAATAATCTTGCTTCCCACGCCAATTGAGCTATCTTTAAATCTTGACTTAAAGCTTTCGTGACTGCGGGAATTAATATCCTTTGGGTTTTTTGGTAAAGTCACCTAGATATGTTGAAAGAAAATAACAAAAAAACTACGACGTTTCGATCACAACACAAGCGGTCGTCGTCAGGAGGAAAAAATTATGACGATTGCTTGTGTTGTGATCGAAACGTCGTAGTTTATTTATTATCTTTCAACCTACCTATGTGACTTTACCGAAAGACCCAAAGAATATGAGCTCTGTTTGTTTTTGTTCCGCGTGTGTTTGTGAACAATCGTCTCACAACACGCACATGCTGCAAGTTCGTTCCATTCATCAAGAGCGCTCGTGACATCACGGAAGGGATCGAGTGATTCCATACGCCCAGCGATTCCAAAACCGTCACAGTACAGGGGCTGTTGTTGACTACCTCGCCTGGTGTGCAGGAGGTTGTCGGTTCGAACGCGACCCTGACGCCTGCTGTATATTGCAGTTTGAATGTCTCTCTCCCCGTGGTCGCGTGGAGTATTTGCTATAAATTTCCACGTGATGATAAGCCACTTCATTTGTGACCAGGTCACTTCTGAATAATAAAATAATAAATTAGAAAATTCTGTTTCAGTGCGGCCAGTTGGGGGCGTTACAGTTGAGGTCTCCCTTAAAGACAAAGGTCCCCCGTGGAGCCTTAGCAGACTCTTGGGGGTGGGTGTTGTGAGGGAGTAGTAGCTATGTAGAGCCCGTGACGGCGCACAAGAGGGTGGGTGGCATGCACCGCATCTAACCACCTTTATATCCCCAATGCTGATGTTTACACGCCGCACCAGGCACCCATTTAAGGCTGAGTCAACCTCGGGGAGGCCCAGGACCGTTTCAGTTATCGGTCACCGATGTTGTCTGTGAGCAGGAATTGAAGTTGGGGGTGCGTGGGGGGGAGCGTTGGGTGGGGGGCAGAGAAGGAGGGGGGCGCGAGGAGGGGTAGCGGGGCATCTGGAGTGTCCTCGGCAGGGTGCGGGCTGGACAGCAAATGCCGCTGGGTCACCTGGTGATGCCGACAAGTGCAGCATCCATTCAGTGCAGGACAACTCGCTTACGCAATTATTATTATTACACTGGTCAACACACTTTTCTGGCATAAGGTATTCCAACGGTTTTAAGGTAATTTTGGGGTGCTGATTCCAAATCTGGCATCAGTTTTTGTCTATCACATCAGGTTTTTGAGATATCAAATATTGCATTTTCAATAAAAACAGCAAATTTATGCTCATATGCGAATAGCTAAACAGACATCCATACAAGAATAAGATAAGATACAATATACAATAATAATGAAACAAACATTTAATGAGCCGTAGCACAACGTTGTGAGAGTGACTGCATATCAATGTGAGTGAATGCATATTACCATGTAAGAATTGAATTGTGAAGATAAGAAAATATGTACAAAAAGGTCATTCAAAATAGTGATGTTACATCTGCATAAACGACCTCTTCTTTGACGATCTCCGATGTACAGCTTGTGGACTGTCTCTCATCAAGGACCAGCAGTAATCTGCCATCATGTTTGAGTCCCGTCGGCCTTGGTAACGTTCTTCCATAACTTGAATGTCTTGATGAAAGCGTTCACCTTGCTCTTCGCTCACGTGACCCATGTTCTCTGCAAACTGGGCCAAGTGACTATGTAAGTAGTGAACCTTGATGCTCATTCTACATCCAAGTGCTTGGAAACTCAAGAGCAGCTCCTCCACCATCTCTCGATAGTTGTCCGCTTTCCTGTTCCCAAGGAAATTCCGCACCACATCAGAGAGTGCATTCCAAGCTCTAGCCTCTGCCGCAGTCATTGTTGTAACAAAGTGTGGATCCCTGATGAGTGTTCTTATTTGAGGGCCATCAAATATTCTTGCCTTTTTCTTCTTGGCACTGAGACTTGAAAAGGTTGAACATATATAGCTGAAGCAGTCTCCAGTGTGATCAAGAGCTTTGACGAATTGCTTCATTAACCCAAGTTTTATGTGCAGTGGGGGAAATACAATTTTATTCCTATCAACCAGAGGCTCATTCTTGATGTTCTTGTCACCAGGCGTCAAACTGATTCTTGGTGGCCAGTTCTTTTTAACCCAGTGTTCTAATGTAGCCCTACTGTCCCAGTAGCACAGGAAACGAGGGTATTTGGTGTGACCTCCTTGCTGACCCAGCAGAAAATTTACCATTTTCAAATCAACACAAATTAGCCATCCATGAACATGGTATTCCAATCTATCCAGAACAATCTTGATGTTGGCATACTCTTCATTCATTTTTACAGAGTGTCCTATTGGGATTGAGCCATATATATTTCTGTTGTGAAGTAACACACATTTCAAACTCCTTTTACTACTGTCAATAAAAAGTCTCCATTCACTTGAATCATATGCGGGCAGTCCCATATTGAGAAGAAGCCCTTCAACATCTTTACAATGAACAAGTTGACCATCTGAATGGAAGTACTTTCGCAGTGCTGCTTCTCTGTTACGATAAAAGGAGACACTAGTGCCAGGTCTGAGTAGTCCTTTCTCTTGCAGCCTGGAAGCCAACAATTCAGCAGACTGCTTTGGCAAATACAAATCTCTTACAAGATCATTCAATTCAGGCTGACTAAACGGAGAAATTTTATCACAATCTGCATCAGATGGCGTATATTTGATCTGTAGAAGCAGGTAAACTGAGGGATTCAACATCAATATCTGGTAGCTCAGTAAATACAGGCATAGGTATTTCCTCACAGTGCTCAACTAGTCGTCTGGCAGATGGGATATCTGGGTATTGTAAGTGTTGTTTGTTTTTCTTATTGAAACCTTTTACATTGACAAGGCAGAAGTAGCAGTTATCCAAATGGTTTGTAGGTTCTCTCCAAACCATTGGCACACCAAACTTCAGCTTAGCATTCTTTCCTTTAGACCATGATCGCAAAGTTTCAACACAGGTTTTACACACTTTGTGAGGAGCTCAATTTTTGTCTTGGTCTCCAAGTCGTACTTTAAAGTAGGCAAGATAAACCTTCTTGACGAAGGTATTGATGTTGCGCCTTTGATCCTGCAAAGTGAATCTGCCACAGATGTAGCAGAAGATATCTGGGTCAATACTGCATTTCCTTCTTTCGGATATTGTAGCCATTGTTAGATCACGCCCTGCAGAATAAAAATATTAAATAAATGTGGATATCTACATAAAATGATATTATAAACACTATACTAAAAATACAGCACCATATTTTAACACTAAACCAGTCACTGACTCGCAACAACTTGCAATCATAAGTTACAGAGTAAATTTCGGGTAATATCAATGAAAATGGGGTATGCCGATTGCATAAAAAATTAACCCGTAAAAACAAAGTTTTTCACTATAAATCCTTTATATGTGTGGCGGCTAGAGTCCTCTCGTCCTCTGGCTTGAGATGGCTGCCACCTATGGGTCAGATGATTGCCTGCCACCATTAAGCAATTGGTAATTAAATATAAAAAAAAAATTCCTAAAAAGTGTAAAGTTATGGAAAAAAATTTTCACGAAAATAAATTTGTCACGCAAACGAGTCTGTGTGCAAAATGGCAGCTCGATTGGATCACGGGAAGTGGGTTAAAAAACGACCGAAAGATTTGCACGGTCGTAAGAGCGCAAGCAAGTGAACTTAATATAAAGGATTAAAAAAATTAACCCGTAAAAACAAAGTTTTTCACTATAAATCCTTTATATGCGTGGCATCGGTTTCATTTTATTATTCATTTCTGTTTTTCTTGAGTAAGCAAGCAAGCAAGTGAAGTTAATATAAAGGATTTAAAAAGGAAAGATCACTTCTTGACATGCCCCGTATATTCCCGAGGGCACTAGCGTTGACCCGTTTTACCACTTTCAAGAACCTGGCGGCTTCAATGTAACTGCTCTATAAATAGTCTCCATTGTACAGCGTGGGGACAGGGATTTCATGCCATGTGGTTAGTCAACATTTGCGTCATCATGAAACGGGCGGCTACAGTCCTCTCGTCCTCTGGCTTGAGATGGCTGCCACCTATGGGTCAGATGATTGTCTGCCACAATTAAGCAATTGGCAATTTAATATTTTAAAAAATTTCCCTAAACAGTGTAAAATTTTGGAAAAAAAATTTTCTCGAAAATTAATTGTCAAGCACAACGAGTCTGTGTGCAAAATGTCAGCTCGATTGGATCACGGGAAGTGGGTTAAAAAACGCCTGAAAGATTTGCACGGTCCTAAGCAAGCAAGCAAGCACGCAAGCAAGCAAGCAAGTGAACTTAATATAAAGGATTTAAAAATGAGATGTGATAGAGCAAATCTGAGATCAGATTTGGAATCGGCACCCTGAAATTAGTCTAAAACAGCTGCAAAAGTCCAGGCCAGAATTTTTTTTTTGTTGACCAGTGTTATTTGCAATATTTTAGTTGTATTAGAGTAAATACACTAGTGTGTGTGTGTGTTTCACCGAAAATTCGGTAAGATGAGCATCGACCCATTGCTCATTTGCACGGGAAGTTGGCTTGAGTCGACTTCTCCCGGGCTCGTGAATGAAAGCGGTAGCGTGCATTGTCATCGCTGGGCAGCACGGTCCTCAATGTGACATCGTTCCGCACTCCGTGGCCGCTTTCTCATCTCGACGCGGTGTTTTTGCGTCTCCGCAGCCGCAACCTCTTTCCACCGCAGGAGGTGGAGAGTCGTTACCTCTACACAGACAACCGCAATAAGCTGTTCGTGCCCATGGGGATTCTACAGCCACCCTTCTACGACCTCCAGCAGAAGAGGTGTGTCCCCCTCCCCTTGTCCCCCCCCCTCCTTGTCCCCCCCCTCCCCTTGTCCCCCCCCCCCCTCCCCTTGTCCCCCCCTCCCCTTTGTCCCCCCTCCCCTTGTCCCCCCTTCCCTTGTCCCCCCCCCTCGCCTTGTCCCCCCCCCTCTCCTTGTCCCCCCCCCTCTCCTTGTCCCCCCCCCCCCTCCCCTTGTCCCCCCCCCTCCCCTTGTCCCCCCCTCCCCTTGTTTCCCCCCTATCCTTTGCCCCCTCTCTGAGGCAGCATGCGTTAAGCATAATCATTCTTGAGTGTCAGTGGAAGTCTACTCGGAGATTATTCATTACGCGTATGTCGTACGTGTATCTTCTCTCCAGAATCTGCGGTATGGAGCCATTGGGTCCGTCATCGCCAGACAGTTTCTGCATGGGTTCTATGGTGAAGGTAATGATGACACACCATCGTACGTCAATCATAGTTACACCGACATGCCGTCTTCCCGTTTTGGAAATTGTGTATCAGCTCCGATCAGCCATAGCAATGCAGGTGGTTTGATGGCTCACAGTTGACGTTTAGAGCAAAGATCCTAGCTCCAGTGGCCTTTGTGTGAGTTTATCTGTCCTCCCATTCTGCACGGGTTTCTTCAGGGTTCTCCAATTACCTCGCATCGCTAAAATCACGCACAGCGTAACTGGTGTTCGCCAAAACAGCCCAATGCTGAAACATGACCTGCCAATTGCTCAATTGGGATCACACAGCAGTAGCAGCAACATCGTTCCCTACTGCGAAATCTTGGCAGGACCTCCTGGGTACACAGGTGAAATCAAAATCAGATTATGGTCATTTCCCGCTTTGGCCCAGGAAGGGGTTGTGGCGGTAGAGTCGTGACGCTAGTGCCGGTAGCGTCGTGACGCTAGTGCCGGTAGAGTCGTGACGCTAGTGCCGGTGTGCCCCCCAGGGAGCCAGTATGATGCGAGCGGCGTCCACAAGCCGTGGTGGAGGAACGCGACGTGCGAGAAGTTTGAGGAGCGGGCGCGCTGCCTGGAGCATCAGTACGGGAACTACTCGAGCGGCGGGCTCGCCGTGAACGGCACGCGCACGCTGGCGGAGAACGTCGCCGACAACGGAGGGCCTCGACACCGCCCTGCATGTGAGAGCGCCGCCCCGTGCCAACGCGTTCACAAACACAGGGCGCCTGGAGCGGGCCGGTGGGGCTGAGTGCTGTTAGCAGAGAGCGTCTATGAAGGCCGACGTGGCACAAGAGGGGGTGGGTGGCCAGCACCATGCCCGGCCGCCTTTGTTTCCCGAGTGGCGATGTTTTACACACCGGACCAGGTACTAATTTTTTAGGCTGAGTCGACCTTTGGGTAGGCCCAGAACCTGTTAAAATAATCGTCACTGGTGTTGGCTGTGAGCAGAAATCGAACTCTGTTCACTGGGTTCGTAGCGCAGCACGCTGACCGCTACGCTACCACATTGCATTGACACACACAGACATACAGTGACACAAAGACGAAGATGCCCACGAACCCCAATCAACATCGCACCCCTGACCAACCCCGCTAATGGCACTTGCTCCCTCTGGTGCGCAAGCTGCTCCAACACATCGCCACAGTGGCGAGCTGTATACAGGAGGTCGTGGGTTCAAACCCAACCCCAACGCCTGTGTATTTGAAGTTTGTATGTTCTCCCAGTGGTGGCATGGATTTTTCTCCGGGTCCTCCGGTTTTTCTCTCCACATTTAGAACCAACGTGCATTTAAAGTATTTTTCTTGTTCATGTGATGATAGCCACTTCGTTGAGCTATCATTTCTGGCCAGGTCACTTCTGGAAAAGAGCTGTATAGTTTAGTGGGCCTTACCTGGTCAAATAAAAACATTGTTTAGTTTTTAGGTTATTTTGAAAGAAAAACTGCGGTGGCCGTCCTCTTGGGCGCGTTCTCTCCTTGGGCTTCCACTCCGCCGTTAGTCTCGACCACCGGCCACACATCCCTCCTTGCGTGACACGTTCCGCCCAAACCCCACTCACTGTTATTATTAAATATTTTAAACATCCCTTGATTGCCCACGACAAGCAATAAAATATCAACTGCTCTTGAAAAGTAGCTGTTAAACTTTTGCAAGGAGCACCTCTGTGCCAGTTATTGTTCTAGGGAAAGTTTTGGACGAAAACCAAAACCATCGCGGGTTACAACTGAAAATAGTGGCAGCTGCAGCTGTGGCAGCGAGGTCACGAGAACGCATCGATACAATACCACGCGCATGCAACAGCGGCACGAGCTTGCAAACACGTAATTACAAGGGTTGTTATACTAAGTCTCTTAGAATTGTTTGGGCTTATAAATAGTCAATAAGCTCAAATAAGTTGAATGTGGAGGCCGCTGCCGATGACTGCAAGGGCCGATGCAGTTGTGGTGCCGGGAGTGATGATAAAAAAGTGTCTGAGACTCAGTGAGGCTTTGTTCAGTAAACGGAGAGGCATAATAATGAGAATAATGTATCGGAAACATTTCAAAACTGTTCGCAAGTGTCTAATGAGTTGTGTGTGCGGTGCTGTGTCAGGCCTATGAGGACTGGATCGCCAAGAACGGAGAGGAGCCACAGCTGCCCTTCCTCGGCCTGAATGCTCGACAGACGTTTTTCGTCAGCTTTGCTCAGGTGCCCCACTCCCTGCACCCAGCGCTCCGCTCCGTGCCGCGTCACCGCCACTCGGCACAGCCCCTCGCACCCGCCACTTAACGATAAACCACCGTGCGCGTACGAGAAGCACGGGAGTGCGCACGTCGACTTGCACGTAGGCACGCTACGTACAGCGCACTCGTGTTCCCTGCGGCTCACAGCACTGTCACACGACAAATGTAAAACCTGCGCATGTTAATTTCTTGTGAACAGCTAAATTAGTCGTTCGTGTTGCCACTGGGTTTGTTTTGCTTACAGCAAAAAGTAGCCTTTTCATGCAATTTTAGATAAATCATTGCTTATATGTTGTTAAATTTAAAAAATACATAACTTTTTATGAAACCTGCTCTAGGAAACCGGTAGCAACACGGCTGTGAGTGAGCTACTTGGGGCTCCCAAAGTGTAACATGTGTAATGGGTTCCGGAGACACTTGTAGAGGTAACTTATTTATTACAATGCAACACCTCAACAGTCCTGATACTCTGTTACAGCCTAGGTACACAGCCTAGGTACACAGCCTAGGTAGACAGCCTAGGTACACAGCCTAGGTACAGAGCTTAGGTAGACAGCCTAGGTACACAGCCTAGCGACGCAGCCTAGCGACACAGCCTACTCTTAGCGTACCTGACTCTAGCTACGCTCTGGGGTCCTCCGGCTACAATTACCCTAGGGGAGGCTACCTGACCCGACCCAGCCAAGGTGCGGGTCTAGACTCTGGCTTCCTCGGAACTCGCCCTTACAAGGACGTAGAGCCGGGAGTCCCAGAGTCCCACCACTGGCCCGCACAATGTCCCGACCCTTACAAGGACAAGCGGGACGAGGGGGTCCAGGGTCCTAAGCTGGCTGGTCTTGGGGCTTGAGCTGCGACTGGCCCCGATCGGCCAGGGAGCGACCCTTTTATGCCTCTTGCCCATCGAGGGGTGGGGTTGTGTGGGGTCCCAGATAGCCCACAGAGCGCACACAGCCCCCCGTTGGTGGCGCCAAGGGGCTTAGCTGTCTGGGTTGCCTGGGATCCTAGGGCCTGGCGCCGAGGGCTTATCTGTCTAGGATCCTAGAGCCCCCAGCAGCCCCTCCCCTCTTGGGCTGGCACAGTGGCCCCTCCCCTGGGGGTCCGAGCTACCTGCTGGTAAGTGTGGCCCATCTATGGCACTACACATGTGACGAGAGTTGGTGGTCGGGGAACCATCTTCTAGGATTGTCAACCAAACCCAGACATGCTCGTCAATCAACCTAGGCCTACCATTCCTCTGCGGTATCCTAAATACAGGAATTCTCTGCTATATGTAAAGGATGTGTTCCTGCTACTTAACTCGAAATTACTTCAAGTGAATTCTAATTTCCCATAGACATAATGTTAAAATCAGAGGTTGCGTTCCTGGCCAACATTTCTGGAATAA